CCGACTAAAAACCACCCCGTTCCTACTCCTGCACTTCGAGCCGGAGCCCCGGTAACCCGTTAGGTTCTCTGCGGCATACTAGCGACACTAGCCTTTTGAGAGTACACTGACTCATGACCTCATGACACTGACACACATAGAAAAAAAATAGTGTGTAAGTTAAAATTTGTCGCGAAGAACCTAACGGGTTACCGGGGCTCCGGCTCGACGTGCAGAAGAAGGAACGGGGTGGTTTTTAGTCAGTAAGAGTCTGACGCTCCCTCCCGCCTCACCCAGGCGGGAGCAGTCATTCGATGATTTTTCCCCCCTTAAAAAAAGCCGTTTAAAATTTCCCGAAAATAAAAAACCTATCACCATAGCACACATTTTTTGACATTCGCATTGGCATTCGCAATTTACAATTCGAATACTTGGCTGTTGGCTTCGGCCCTTCGTACGCCTCCCAAATGACCGGGGCCCTGTGGTCCTGTGAAAGGTAAAAATCAATAAAATTTTCAATTACCAATACAGGTAACGCGTGGACGCGAATAAGCGAACTTTAGTATGTAGGACGCGAACAGCGAACTTACCGTATTTAGAGCAATCGATCAGGCGGATCACCAGGGGGCTTACTCTTGAATCCAATTCTGATAGATTGACATTGGTATTGTGAAATTTCGTACTCTTGTGTTGCAACACTAGCGTCCATTGCATCCGTATTCGGTGGATAATTAATGAACTAAATGGTATTGAGTTTGGTTTTACATTCCGTACTCTGAATGCTATTGTAACAGCTACGATTGTGGTTGTATAGTGTTGACATTGAATAATTATTGAGATTTTATCGGATTGAAATTGCATTGGTATTGAGATTGGTCTCAGGAGTAAGCACCTTGTAAAGCCATCGGCATCACCCATGGATATCCCGCAACACCAAAGGAGTTATAATTGCGTTGCGAGCACTATAGGAATTGGTATGATGACAGGGTCTGAAAATTAAAAATCTAATTAGTCCGTAAGTAAGGTAATAAAAAAATATTAGACACGTATTTTTTTATTTTGTGGTCCGTGCTGAAGTCCCGTGGCATTTTGCCGCCTTGCCACCTTGTAGTTACGCCACAGAGCATGGCTCTCCCACACCTAAAACAATATCATCACATCAACAGCTTATAAATGCCCACTGCTGAGCAAAGCCTCTTCTCACACGGAGAAGGTTTGAGCATTAATCACCACGCTTGCTCAATGCTGGTTGGCGATTTCAAGCTTATAATTACAAATTATAAGCCCAGGTTTCCTCACGATGTTTTCCATTAACATTTGTCAGTGGGGTCTAAATAATCTCAGAAAGTACTTTTAAGTGTGGGAGAGCCATGCTTCGGCACGAATGGGCCGGCTCGACCGGAGTGAAACAACGCTTGCGTTGTGTTTCGTCGTGTGAGTGAGGTTACCGGAGGCCCAATTACCCTCCCCTTCCCTAATCTCCCCAATTCCTGAATCCCCAACGATCCTCAAGATCCTAATCCCCAAAAAGCCGGTAACGCACTTGTAACGCCTCTGGTGTTCCAGGTGTCCATGGGCGACGCCGATTGCTTACCATCAGGTGATCCGTCTGTTCGTTTACCGGCTTATGCCATAAAAAAAAGTAACTCGGAAAAAGTCACATGCCGTTGCTAAGTATGTTTCGAACCCGCACCCTCATGCATGAGAAGCGGAGTCTTAACCTTCGAGCCACCACGACATAAAAACAAAGAAACAATATACTTCACCTGATTTGTCTTAGATAAAATATAAATCTCCACAGCTCGCGCCCGTCGCCGTCGTGCTCTTCGTCGGGCGCAACGGCCCCCACCCGGTAACAACAGCGGCGAGAGAACTAGAGACCCCACACCCCAACTAAGACCCCCGCAGTTAGCAAGATGTCGCCTCATACTACAGGAAATAAATAGAAAGATTTCATCTGTAACGTGGCAGCCACCGGCCGATATGTAATTTAATATAAAGAATTTATAAATATTGTATCCTAATTTCTGTGTGGTTTTTAATGGTGTCATTCCTCTTCCCTTGGTGAATTTAATGCAGCAATGGTATTCTCTAAGAAACAGTTTCTAGGCTGTACGCTGCGTCGAATTCGTCGTCGAGACAGCCATTTTTTTTTAAGGGGAGAAAATCATCGACTGCTCCCGCCTGGGTGAGGTGGGAGGGAGTGTCAGACTCTTACTGACTAAAAACCACCGCGTTCCTTCTCCTGCACGTCGAGCCGGAGCCCCGGTTACCCGTTAGGTTCTCCGCGACTCCGAATCGGCATCGGCCCTATTGGGCCTCATCTGTGGTGGTCTGATGGCTCTTTGAGGCGCGCGCGGAACGCGATGCGCCGTACGCTTGGGTCTGTTTCTGGTCGGACGGGGGCCACCCATGCTCGCCGTCCGTAGTCCCGCGTTTACACACGCACACATAAATAAAACTGTCATTTTCGTGTTTCTATCATTTTTAAGTGACATTATGTTCGGCTTCTTTCTCGCAACTAAATATTTTAAGTTACAGGGAAGCAACCATTAAAATATTAGCATGTAATAATTTGAATTATACTATAAGTTAAAATGAAAATATTGAAATATAATAGTTTTAAGTAATGGTGTGATTTTTATTTTATTAATAAATCCGTTCATGAGCATCGACAGTCCTTAAGAGAAACAGTAGCCTATTCTGTAACTGTCAATTTTTAAGTGAGTTCGATTGCATTCTCACCCGTCATTGGTCGAGATTATTCTAACAACCAATGACATGGCGGACTGCGAATGAGTTTACTTCGTTCTTTTGAATTGAGAATTACAAAATAGCCTAACATACATAACATTGGATTTTATACAATTTAATCTGTGCTACATACATTTTTTTTAAGGATTAAATCAGGTAAACGAGCTGGCGGATGGTAAGCAATCGGCGTCGCCCATAGACACCTGAAACGCTAGAGGCTTTACGTATGCGTCATCGCCCTTTTGGGGATTAGGAATTTGAAGATTATTGGGGAGATTAGGGAAGGGGGTAATTTTTATTTTTATTTTAAAACGTTGCCCCACACTAGGGTTTTCTCCTGTGTCGTGGGTGCGTTTACAAACATAGGTACAAGTTTACATACACATGACACCCAGATCCGTAACAACAATTTGTGGATCACACAAAGTGTTGTCCCGTGCGGGAATCGAACCCGCGACACGTTGCACGGCAGCCGGTTGCCCAGCCACCGCACCAACCGTGCAGTCATTGTTTTGGACCTCCGGTAACCTCACTCACAAGACAAAACACAACGCAAGTGTTGTTTCACTATGGTTTCACTCCGGTCGAGCAGGAGCCCAGTCGTGCCGAAGCATGGCTCTCCCACACATAAGGAGGACTTTGTAAAAATTTCCGAGTTTTAGCAGACACTGTCAAGATCACAGTTCAGTCCGCCGAATAATTAAGAAAGAGACATTGTAGAAGATACTTTTTAAAAAGATAAACTTTTTTAACGAATGGAGTTCCTTGCTCGTTCTTCTCCATTCGAATCTACATTTTGGAATGAGCACCTAGCTTCACCTAGCTTCACTGACGGACTGACATGACAGACTATTATTTATTTTGTATTTGTTGACTTTTTAAAAGTAACAAATTATGGTTAAATGGAAATAAAAGCTTTGACTTTGAAAAAAATAAATTATAAGTATAATCTCCAACCTTTTTGCATGGAGATTTTTTTTAATTATGACAAACTCGTCTATATCTATTGTAGAGGACGACCATAGTCCAGTAGTAGGTGATGATTGTGATTAGTCATGTAGGTACTATCTAATCTACCAATTTGGAACAGTTTCCAGAGTCGATCGGCCATATGTTAAATTCCCACCAGTTAACACGAATACTCAGACAAAACAGATTAGATAACTACAAGTACAAAATACCTACTTAGTTATTACCTACTACCTGTGTCCGCGACTTCGTCCGCGTGGAATTTGTATTATTTGCACAGCTTGTTCCCCGTAGATGATAGCTTGATAATATGTAGCCTACATGTTGACCCGACCAGCAGTGGTGTGCACAGGTTTTCGAGACAGGGTAGGCAATTAAATAGAACACACAAGACTAAGGTAAAAGGGACTAAGCGTGCTTAAAAATTCATCAGACGTATCACCTGATGGTAAGCGTCCATGGACACCCGCAACACTAGAGGCGTTACAAATTCGCTGCCAGCTTGTTAGAGATTCGACGATTTTGGAGGCGGTAATTGGGCCTCTGGTAATTTCGCTCACACGCTGAACCACAACGCAAGCGTTGTTTCACTATAGTTTTCTGCTCGGCCGTGGTATAACTCCGGCCAAGCTATCCCATTCGTCCGGAGCATGGCTCACACACTTAGAAGGTACTTAAATCGTCTGCAAAAGCCGTTTTTATTAAGTTCGTAAGAACTACGGCAGGGCTGTCCAAACAAAGGTCCGCGGGCCCGGGGCCACATGCGGCCTGTTGCTTGTTTTCATGTGGCCCGCGACACACATTTTAATCTCAACATCTTCATCTTATGTGTAAAAACAATAATAAAATTCAGTGTATGATTTTGTATACAAGTTTTGTATATGAGTAAAGAATACAATGTTAAACATCATTAGGTATACAACTGAAAATGTTTTTCTATCCCTCCAGCTTTTGTAAGAAATTTAATTAGCCCGGGAGGGTATATAGTTTGGACAGCCCTGAACTACGGAGAAGAGAAGTTCAATGCATGTGTATGGCAATGGCTATTATTTAAAAAAAAATTACAATCTTTTTAAATCACTCAAAGTGATTGCCGCCAAAAACCTACATCAAATATGGCCGCTAGAAATACTTCCAAACATCTCAATTTATAAATTTAACCAAAATAAAGATGATAAATATCTGATTATTAAACAATTTGTTGTTTTTAACTCATAACCTAGAGGTAGAGAATAGAGATAACCCCTAGATTAGGTATAAATACGGACGGATCGTGAAAATATGTAGTAGACGCAAAGATGTTACGGTGGTGTGCTATAGTTTTGCTGGTGTGTACGGGAGCGTTCGGGAATCCGACGCCGTAAGTAGCGAATCATTCATATTTTCTCAAATTTTACGAACGGCTAATCTCGAAGTTTTTAACCTGTAGATTTGTGAACTAAGCTCCAATATACAAAATAATTGTTGTAAAAATATTTCTATTAAGATTTAAATACCTCCTACCGATGTCAATAACCGAAAAAATATATCCGGAAAAATCTGCCCAAATCTCTGATTTTAATTTTTGATAGAAAATCTATAGAACTTATGACAAAAATCGATCTCTTCTCTGTCTAAAGATTTTGAATTGAAATTGGTTCAAGATGGTTATTGAACACGGCCGTTACTTGCGTTTAAACCTCCTCTATGAATGGGCAAAAAAAGCATATATTATTCTCTATGAAAGAATGAAATATTTTAATTTTTGTTTTGTAACTTTAAACAAATTCTTAACAATAGTTACATAAATAAGATTTTAAAATAACGAAATGATTATATTAATTAAATAATATTAATGATTTTTATTATTTTGTAAACAGAGTAAGTACTTTTGCGGTGCCCAAAAGGGCCTATAGTTGGAACATACTTTGTCAAAAATTGTAAACCACCCTTAACTCTTACTTACCCAATAAAAAGTGGTGTTAAAAAAACACACTCTATAGATGCATTAAAGTGATTTGAATTTGAGCAGCTATATGCCCGAATACTGAAAGGCTACTGAATTATAAGTCGCGTTCGTTTAGTTCGTATTGTTCGTAAGTATAGTTGTTCTGTCACTAGAAATTATATAAAGTAGGTAGGTACCACTTAAAATAGAAGTAACCTTTCAATATTTGGACGTGACGTCATAATACACAGTCGAATAGAAAACTCGTTTTTGACCAACTTAATTTTAGTATTTTTGCAGCATTTTTTTTAAAGAAATAAGTATTGTGTTTGATGCTAAAAAACCGTGACGTCACAATACACAATCGCATAGAAAACTGTCGTTCATTTCGACAATTCGAAAAAAGTATTGAATTTGACTAGTTGACAAGTACCCGAGTTAATTCGCCGCAACTATACTGGACCTACGCAAAAAGACATGGCAGCGCGGGCCTTGTCTGACCAATTGACAAAATTAATAATCGGTTTTAACACAAAATTCTCTAGAATCTACCATAGCATAATAATATAACTAGAATCTATCGTTGAACCGTTACACATTGAAGATGGTAAATTGCCACTAGTAAAAATTTATTGAATAAACAGCTGTTCTGGCGACAGATTGGTGCAATGGTGTTTTGCATCTGGTTTTGTACCCTTGTGTACCTACTCGTCAACGGCCAAGTCACATAACATTAAATCCTTATCCTTACTAATCCTTACTAATATTATAAATCGGAAAGTGAGTTTGTTTGTTTGTTCCGCTTTCACGCCGTAACTACTAAACCGATTGCTTTGAATTTTACAGACGTAAAGTTATAAGTCCGGATTAAATAATAGGGTAGAAAAATTTGATATTCCCGATGGAAAACTAAAGTATTGGTATAGATGGCGCTGTGTGTATTGGTATATGTCACATAGGGTACTTTTTATCCTTTTGTGACGCTAGCGAAGCCGCGGGTAAAAGCTAGTATAATAATAAAGAAATCACAGTAAGGAAAATTAGCCTTTTTTTTTAAGGGTGGAAAATCATCGAATGGCTGCTCCCGCCTCCAGTATCAGACTCTTACTGACTAAAAACCACCCTGTTCCTTCTCCTGCACGTCGAGCCGGAGCCCCGGTTACCCGTTAGGTTCTCAGCGACAAGGAACCTTAGACTTGGCACGACTTTGTCTAGATAATATTACTTTCGTCGGCGTCATCGAGGCTTGGCTAGTGTGTTGTTACACAATATTTTTGGTTGGAGTTAAAGATATTTTTACACATCTTATCTAGAAATTATAATCACATTCGGCATTAACCTTGACTGTACAAAACAGATTGAACAGATTGTTAATTTTTTATTAAGTACCAACTTCTGCTCGCGATTTCGTGCGCGCAATCCCGTTTTCTCCCATAAGATTTTCAGGTTTTTTTCTATCATAAGAACCTTTTCCTGACAATAACAAACACAACAAAAAAAACCACCAAATCGGTCCAGCCATTCACAAGTTATGGCGTGACAACGGGAAACGGGTTTCATTTTTAAATATACCTAGATACCTAACAGCTGTTCCGTAGTCTCAGCAACGATAATTATAATAATCAGTGTTAATCAAAAATCGCGGGTTCCTTACATGAAAATACCGAGAAAAGCTCTACCAGTTTCGAGCTACAGAGGGGCGTTGTCGCGCAGCCTACTGACATCGCGCATCGAAACTAGTAGGGCTAACCCGCGGTTTTTGTTAATTTAGTAGGTAGTATTTATGTCCTACGATAGATATTATAAAAAATCAGTGTTCTCAAAAATGAAATTGGCTGCACAGATGGCGCGATGGTGGTTTGTTTTAAAAACGTTGATAACTAGGACTTTCTCCTGTGTCGTTGGTGCGTTTATAAACATACAATTTCACATACACAACCAGAACCAGAACAGTAGTTTCCTAAATTTTATTTTAATGTCCGTCTGGTACATTAATTTAAAACTTTAGACACGTATTTTTTCTTTTCTCACAAAATTAAATACTTTCGACGATATATTAATTTGAAATATCGTGTGATGTCACAGCGTGCCACATTTTGTAGCACGTTATGACGTAATGACCCCACTCCTAAACTTAGCACTATTTTATCTAAGTATTGCAACTTAATATGAGAAAATAAAAAAATACGTGTCTAATATTTTTTCATTATCTAACTGACGGACTAATTATATTTAATCTTGATACACTGGAAACTACCCAATTGGTGGATTACATAAAGACTTGTTACTTGTTACTTAAAGACTGCCTCGTTGGCCGAGTGGTCACAAGTGCGACTGCTGGCCATGGGGTCTCGGGTTCGATTCCCGGGTTGGGCAAAGTTTTACTGGATTTTAAAAAAATCTCAGTAAATCTCAGTAGCATGGAGTCTGGAAATGTGCCCGCTATCCATATAGCGGGCACATTTCTATTGCCATCAATAGACTCACCCCCTATTACATGGGACTCATAACATAAATAGTGAAAAGTGGGTGTTACTTCTACCTACCCCTTCGGGGATAAAAGGCGTGATGTTATGTTTTGTTATAAAGACGGTTGCCCAGCCACCGTTGTCAAGTTCTCCCCGCGTCTTACTACAGTGAACGATCCCACTTCCTTTTAAAACTAGGTCAAGGGCAATCCACAGATAATAATATCCGTATTATTATAGATGACAGATATACAGGTTGTTATTTATTAGGACCATCACACTTGACCTCTATACTCGAACCACTAGTAAGAAACGAGGTCTTTTGCTCAATGGACAGCAACTTACTGCCAATTTCTATAACATATCTCAATCCAAAATGTGTGGATTAAGATCGATTTTTGACAGAAACTCCGTACAACTTTTTTTTTAAAAAGCGTTGCCCCACACTAGGATTTTCTCGTGTGTCGTGGGTGCGTTTACAAACATACAAGTTCACATACACACTGCTGCCAAAAATCGAACTATATCGACAGATTTTGGATTAAGATAGTTTATTGAAATTGGCAGATAGGCTATCTGTCGGTAGATTTGCCTACACAAAGATAGACTTTTCACACTTTCGCACTTGCAACTCTTCTTGGATCCATGGTTTTTTATGGAATAGGAGGCAAACGAGCATACTGATCACCTGATGGTAAGCAACCAGCACCGCCCATGGGCACCCGCAACACCAGAGGAGTCACAGGTGCGTTGCCGGCCTTTTAACTCGTCGAGTACCGGTTTTATAGACACAATTAAAGAACAATAGGTCGCGGTCACCGGTGACCGCTTGGTGTTTGACAGTTTAAAAAGAAATACGCTCTTTTCTTGAAGGTTTGAAGGTCGTATCGGTTCGGAAATACCGCCGACGACAGATCATTCCACAATTTAGCTGTGTGAGGCTGAAAGCTACGTGAGAAGCGCACAGTTGTGGCCTGCTAACCATCTATCTATACTTATGGTGGGGATGCAGTTGTGAGGGCCGATGGCGAATAGATGCGGCAGGTATCAGGTCAAAAAATTCCTCAGAGCACTCCCCGTGGTATAAGCGATAGAAAATGCACAATGACATTAACCACTTATAATCAGGTGATCCGTCTGCTCGTACCCTATAAAAAACCGATGATAGTAACCGTCAATACCTACGAGTAACGGGTGCGGGTGAAACCGCGCAGAAGTAGCTATTGTCGTACGTAAGTATAAAAATACCTAATTTAGTTACCTTTAGTTACCTGTAAAATGAACCTTTAAACCTTTTTTTTTATTTCAATATTAGCACGGAGTCTGGAATTGTGCCCGGTATATGGCAATAGGCTCACCCCTATTACATAGGACTCATAACATAAATAGTGAAAAGTGGGTGTTACTTCTGTGTGCACCTCTGCCTACCCCTTCGGGGATAAAAGGCGTGATGTTATGTTTGTGTATGTTATGTTTTTTTTAAATATTTTTTTTTAAGTGATAGAGGGTCAATGAAATGAAAAAAACGCGTACCGCTTCTTTGTTTCCAAGTGTGTATTTATAACAAAACACAAACACATGTTATTGTAACTAATGTATACTGATTACGTAACTAAATAACAAGTATTTGATAATGGATACTAGGTGGTGGCCCTGACTTTGTGTGCGTGAACTTCATATCTATCAGCTATCCGCTTGTTTGCCCGAGGTTCATACTGAAACCTTACTACATACTGTTACACAGTACCTTATGCCTTGATCACACGTATGGGTTGATTACACCTAACGAGTACAGCGGCGAGTCAGTGTCCTCGGCCGAGTGCTCGGTTGGTATAAACACTTGAACGAGTGCTCGGCCGAGTACTCTGTCGAGAAGAGAGGCGAGAGAGTCACTACAATCCCAATTTGTTTACTAGGCCAAGTACCCACCACCCCGCTTCATTCTTCTGCCCCCGCAGCGACTCG